GAGAGAGAGAGAGAGAGAGAGAGAGAGAGAGAGAGAGAGAGAGAGAGAGAGAGATACATTGGCAATGAAACTTTTGAGACTTACTGTACGTATGTAGAAAGAAACGGATGACTACACTACACGCTACACGTCAGACGTTTGAGTCGAAAAGCTTACAATTAGTACGACTAAGGACTGAGGTTGACCGAGGCGCTCTCGTTATCAGTCATTGTATAATTTATACACATTTAAAGTAATACGTGTGAGTTTTTCAGTGCACGGTGCACGTTTCGACAGTGTTGGACAGTGTTCGACAGCAATCAGGATGGTAAGTGTTCATTTTGCGTCGTGTTCTATACGTTAGCGATATATTTAAAAGGTAAACAAAAGTAGAAGGCAATTCATTTATGTTTACAGGCATCTTATTCAGAGGATCAGCTGGCAGGTAAGTGAACGTGAATATGTGAGTTGTTGGGTAAAAACCAGAGTGAGATCAAAGGGGGGCGGACAGTTTTGTCTCGGTGCTTAATTCAGGTCAAGAATATCGTTACCTTATTAGACCCACCCTATGGTATCACCGACTCGCATGTCGGTGATTACCTTTTATGGTTAGGTACTTCAAAGAAATAGTAGCAGAAAAGAAGAAAGCACGACAGAATCCGAATAGCAATCGCCGTGACGGTTCATACATTTATTCTCGTTTTAAATCGCTTCTGATTCCATTTTCACTGAGTTACAGAGCGAATTTCGGGAATCGTTGGTTCTTTTCACCATCGAAAACGTTGAAAGTAAAACGCGATCGCGACATATATGTATTATCTTTTTAGTTTGTTTTAAATCATCGTTGACAAGGAAACCTTGACATATTTCTCTACCGTTTAATTTAATATAACTTTAATATCGTTTTTTCTCGTAAATATATAAAATACAAAATGTACGGTTGCAGTTATCAAGAACTGACTAATAGAATGATGTCATCGATCGAGGGTAAACGAACGAATATTATTTTTTGGTTTAGAATGAATATACTAGTACTTTGACTAAAAGATAACTATGTTTCTTTTTTGCCATGTTTGCAATATAAATTATTAAAGATCTTGGTGTGCTATGACAGAATTTCAGGAGGCATTCCAGCTTTTTGACAGTCGAGGGGATGGCAAGATTCACGTGTCCCAAATTGGAGATGCACTGCGAGCTCTCGGACAAAATCCGACTGAATCGGATGTAAAGAAATTCACTCATCAACACAAACCTGACGAACGTATCAGTTTCGAAGTGTTTCTACCTATTTATCAAGCTATAAGTAAATCTCGAACATCCGATACTGCAGATGACTTCATAGAAGGTTTACGTCATTTCGACAAAGATGGGAATGGCTTCATCTCTTCTGCAGAATTGAGACATCTTTTGACAACATTAGGTACGTTACATAAGCGACTCTTAATTTGACCAGTGTTTCTCTATCTCAGAGGCTTGAAAATGCTTTTCATAATATTTCATTTCTATTATGCTTCATTTTAAGGTGAGAAACTCAGCGACGAAGAAGTTGAAACATTGTTAGCGGGCCATGAAGATTCACAGGGCAATATTAATTACGAAGATTTCGTTCGCCAAGTGATGTGCGGATGAATGTTGATTATAAGTAATCATTATTATAGAAAGATTTGCGTTCGTCGTAAGATTTCTTTAGATGTTTAATTTTTTCCACCATTTTTGCGCCATACTTTGCCAGTATATACCACTTTACGTGGAATGATTTAGTCGCTAATAGTTTTGTTGGGTACTGTAAAATATTTTTTTTCGTTGTATCAAATTTATTTTTTATACCCGGACAATCTTTATTACGCATCGGCTAAAAAATTATGTAAAAATAGAACGCGCAAACTAAAATCGAAGTAAGCCTGCAATTCGATTTATACAGTTTCCAACCTAGACATTCCAAACTTTTTCTTATCAATTTTATATATTTCTTAGGATTCAAACGAGTACGAACAATTTTCTATTGATTTACGACTATAGTTAGTTTCTTTCTACATACTTCCAATTTAAATGCACATTATTTTCTGTATAAATGATTAAAAATGTCTGAAACCTCAAAAATACTGTATAACGAATAAAATAAAATTTTTTTAAAACTAAATTCGACTTATTATAGAACTTTAAAAAGTAGTTTCGGCTTCTTTTTTTAAATTCATTTTCTTAATTATTCTTAATTCTAAATAATTGTAAGATTTCTTTTATTACAAATATTTCTTTTATTTTACAAACAATTTATTTTAAATTCCTGTTGTCGTAATTATGACTTAAAAATTATATCTTGGGCCGCGAGTCCAGAAAAAATGAGAACCACCTTTTCTTTTAAACTTTATCATGAAGTTAAAACAGTTAAGAACCACTGTCGCACTGTCTTGAAGTTGTCGGTAGAAAAATCGAGTCGATTTGAATCGAATCGAATCGAATCGAATCGACTTTAAACGCGAGATCGACATCCGAGTATCCGACAAGGAACGTTTCAGACTTCAGTATCGTTTAGCTCGTTCGGAGGAAGACGGAGGCGTGCGCGCTGGTGATTCCACGATAATTCTTATCGCTCAACAATCGCTAGTTCAGCGAATATTTTCTCCAATCAAAGTAAATTCACGGCCGTCAAGATTTTACGAAGGAAAAAGTATGAGTATTAGCTCCAGTCTACCATTAAGTAATTGTGAAAGTATTAAAAAGGGCATAATTATGCCAAGTCTAATATCCAGCAATTGGTAAGTACTGCGCCATTTTTATCTTTGAGTTCGTCGCCGCCATCTTGTACCCTATCTGTCGTTTTCGTGTGGTTCTTTATCATTTTCATTCTACATACATCTCCCGTGAATCTGCTATCACTGATAATATATTTTTAAAGCGGTTCGTTTTCACGATAAATGCATTTTCTTTGAAACATTGAAAACTGTACACACACA